ATCAAATGATGAAAAACTCTTCTTTTTTTTTTTTTACAATTTATCTTCTTTTTTTTAATATGGTATTTGTTAGAAAAAAAACCCAGTAAAATAAACAAAATCATTCAATGCATAAGAAGTTTGTGGTTACTCTTGTTACAAAAACTAAAAACATGACTCAGGTTCAAACCATTCGTAATTGTGTAAATAAATGTAAGCAGCATAGGTATGTGAATAATTTTACATTTAAAGAATATATTTCTAATTTAAAATAAACTTTTATAAGTTTGTGGTCACTTTTGCTACATTTCAGAAAACAACTGAATTTTATTTTTTTATCAATTTTGAAATTTTAACTGACAAAAGGATAGTAGCCAATAGTATTAAAAATACTACTTTAACAATACTTTACCAACAAACAAACAAAATAAAATACTTTATTAAAAATACAAAATTATTATATGAATCAGCATTTGGAAATTAACATTGAGATTTATACATTTTTGATGTAAAATTTTAAACTTTTTAGACCATTAAATAAAGTATAAAAAATTCTCCCAGTTTATTTTTCATTGGAAATTTATTTAAAAAATTATATAAAAGTGAAACTGCAAAGTAGTACAAAGAGAATGATTTGTACAAAGAACATAGCTGTTATGCCGTGTTAGTGGGATTGTAAAAATAATTGCCATGAGTTAAACTTATAAAATAAAGAGCAAAATCAAACACATTTTTCTTTAAGCAATTATTTTCTTATCACAATTTTGTAACATTGCCAACAACAATGGCCATTGGACATTAAAAAAAAAAAAAAAAATTACCAGTGAATACATAGTTGCTAGAGAATGCTTAGGTGCATGGGAAGCGAAAGTTTGCAGAGTTACCAATAGATAATAACCAAAAATAAAGAAAACCCCACATAATTAATAAAAAATATTCTGGCTATAACCTGATTACCAAAAAGACTGTTAGAATTTAATATAACCCAATAACTGAAACATTTTTGTGTTTAGAGAAATAAAGCAGACTAAAGAAATATAAAGTTAAAAATAGATTTTGATATTCGATTTGTCGTAACACTAAATTGATGAGTTACACACGTAATGAATCAAAAAGTAAGACATTACATTGGTTATTAAGAAAGAATAGAAGTATTTATATTTGGTTTTGTATAAAATTGATAAAAATTAAATAATTGGTTTTGTTTAATTATAACAAAATTAAGAATGATTATAAAATTCAAAGAAATTTTTAAAGATAAGAAATATGTAATGCCTATAATGGCAATCACAATGGTAATGGTACACATTTCTATGAATTACATAAGAATCTTAAAAAAAATATAAGTATATATTCATGAGACAATGGCACTACAGAAATCGCCTTATCATAAAAAAATATGTGTGATAAATAAGAATTATTTTAACCAAAGCATATTTGGTTTGGTGTTGGGGTGCAAATAAAAGGTGTTGGTGTGTTAAATAAAAGTGTTTGGTGTGCAACACCAAACACTTTTATTTAAAATGGCTCAATATTAAACCTTATTATTGGTACCTTGAAACATAATGCCATATAAGCTTGATGCAATTTCAATAAATTAAATTGTACCATGTTTACACTTAAATAGAATAATAGTATTGAGTAATAAAATTTTAAAAAAATTAATAAGCACTATATAATTTAAATTAACAACCCAACACACAAGGCTATAAAAAATTTTAAATTGTGGTTCACTGGGACCAAAAATTTCTAACAATCTATGATGTTGCATGATGGATTCATTTAAAAGAGTAGATTAAGAGAATATAAATTAATTAAAAAAATTATAAATATATTCAGTGGTTTCCCTTTCAGTTGATACGAATCTTCTGTTAGTTGTTTAAACAAATGCTACTTTTTGAACTTTCAATTTGAATTATACCTTTTTATTTAGAGAATCAGAAGTTTGATTATTCTATTAATAAAATTGTAACTTAGTCTACATATTTTAATTACGACTTAATTTTAGTTAATTTTCAAATGCAGCAAATCAGTTAAAAAAATAAATAATAATGATTTGGGAACAAGGCCACAATTCACATTATAAAAAAGTCTGCAATTACTGAAATGGTAATTAAACTAAAATCATTTTAAATGAACTGTAAATAGGAATCTATTCAAATTTTTCAAATTATTAACCATGTAAGATAGGATTTCATCTTCTAAAAATATTAAATAAGTTGAATAAAAATTATTTGTTTGAGAGTGAAACTATCATCAAACCATACGATTTTGTAACAAAAATTTCAGATAATTTCTTCTATTAGCAATATCATGACTGATAATGTGCTTACAATTATTTTTTAAAGCTATCAAGTTTTATTGAATTTAACTAAATTTATATATTTGCTAGATAAAATTTAGTCCATTTTTCTTGGATAAATTATGTTTCATTTTAGTTGGTAAAATTGTATCTATTTCCCATTCTTTGAAATAGTTCATTATTTACTTTCAAAATTTACAGAAAAATGCAATTTAAACTTCAGAGAAATGTTGATTTTTTTGCTTTAAAAATGAAAAATAAAATTATTATTCTGCTTTTGTTTGTTTTATCTCGTAAAAAAATTTGTGTTTAATTTATCTCAAAGGAAATCTTTTATTTACTCTGACATTATTTTCTCTTTGCTACCAAAGTGTGCTTTTTAAGTTTTTTCTGTTACAAAAAATACTTTTACCTGATGCAAATTTTTTTCTTATAAAAAATCTATATTTAACTGATACAATCTTTCAAAAGTCATTGGGACTGTTATTGGTAGTAGCTTTTATTACAATTGATACAATGTTTAAATGATATAAAATTTAGGGTACTTTTCAAGACCAAAGCAAAATAAGCGAGAAAAGTTAAATGAATTGTGAAAGTGTTTCTGGGAGTTACCAAATTATACCAAGCAGAATTGGATATCCCCTTGATTTATTTCCTGGGTCAGTCAAAACCTCTTACATAATTTTAAATAAATGTTGCATATAATTTGTTAGGCTTTACTCATAAGTGTTTGTCTATCTTTTCCTCCAACTCTATTAGTAAGTTTTCTCTTTTCTTTTCATTGTAACTTTTCCTACATCTCAGAAATTCTCCTTTTTATTTTGTGTTTTAGTACAGAATATGCTTCCTTCTATTGCCAAAATGATTATGTGTTTGTTTGGAACTATTATTTCTACTCCTTTTGCATTATTTTAGCTTTATTCATATTCAGCACTGTTGCATTAATTTAAACATGTATCCAGAATGGCAAATGTTATCGAAAGCTTAAGATTTTATTAACAATAATCAGGATGAGTTTGTGGAATTCCTTTTGTTTTTCATTTTAATATAAAGAAAGTTCAGCTCTCCTGAATTTTTCCTCCGTTTTTTAAGCTTTTTACTATCTTTGTAAACACAATTTAAAATTACAGATCGGGATTCATATTAAAATCTCAACTCGATTCAAATTCTTGCAATCTAAAATAATTCATCGTGATATGTATTTAGGTAATTTAAAATTACTCATCGCGATCTATATCCATATGATTAAAGAATCTCACATCGGTATCCATATTTACACGATTTAAAAGTTAGGCATTAAGATTCATATTTATAGAATCAGATAGAAGAAAAATCGCTCATCAGTATTTTTTATTAAAAAGTTGATAATATTCTATGAATATATGCTTCCTTCATACACCTTTTTCTTACTTAAATTTTAGATATTTTTTCAATTATTTAAAATGTATTTTGTACACAGTCTTTTGTATTACTAATTTCAGTTTGTATTTGTGGACAACTTTGTCTTAAAAGTACAAAATTGTGTAATTTTTTTAAGGTGAATTTTCTATGAGAGAAATAAAGTTTGGTTGTAATGGGGTTAAAAAAGACAGGGAAGATGTTCGGTTAGAGGATTCATTCAAGTGTGAAGAAGATAATTTAACAACTGATTTAATAGATGTATAGATAAAATTAGCAAAGTCGATATAAGTGACCGAAAAAATGTGACATTGAAAATGAATACAAATAAGTCATTAATGCCTTCTTCCATAGATGCTGATGTTTATAAGAAGACTGATGTTGATGTTTATAAGAATATATAGTATTATCTTATTTTAATGTAGAGGATGGCTTCTTTAATATCATCAAAAAATGGGGGGGGGGAGTAATTAAAGACTGTAATTGAAGCAATAATGATTTTTTTAAAACAATTGATTTCATTCTTTTATATTTTTGTTATATAACTTTCTTGTTTTAATGTAATTTGTGGCTATAAAAATGAAACTGAACAAGCTAATTTATTGTGAAATAAATCAACAGTCTTAAGCTTGCATAAGTGTTAATGGAAAAGTTTTCAAAATATTATTTTTCCACAAATTATGTTTCAGGACGCACTCTACTAACCATTCAAACTTGTTAAACAGAGAACTAACTGTATTTTAAATTTCTTTTAAAAAAATGCACTTTAATTAGGTTTTCTAATTTAGTAATTAAGTATAAAGAAAATCAAAATGTTTTCATTATTGAATTGCGAAAAAGTAAAAATATGAAGAAAAAAATGCTTATTTGTCTAGTGAAACTAAATTTTTTATGAACTGCCTCATATAAACTTTCTTTATGTGCTCTTTCTTTCACACCTATTGATCGATTCACACAATAATGATAGATGAGAGTCTGAACTTTTTCTTATAAAAACTTATTGCTAACTATAAGTAGTTTTCGGACTGCATTTTTACAAGAGTTCTAAAAATAAAATCAGAAAACTATTTTCATTATTGACATAGTTCGAGGCCTTTAAAATTATGTGTAAAAGGAATAATTGTAGAAAATCTTACTCATAACAAAAGAAAGAATGGAAAAGAAGTATTCAATTATCATGATTATTGCATTTTGAAAAATTAAATTTTTATTTTCTTCATCTTTCTAATTTTATTTGTTTTAGTCTAAACGTTCTTGTTTGTATAGTATATAAATAAATCCCTTTCAGTAATTTAACATGTATATTAAGAGTTTCTTTGAAAAAATTTTATTATTGTTTTCTTGCTTTAGAAATATATGAAAGCCTTAAAAAGTTCTGACTATTGTGGAATTGTTGATGGTGGCATTGTAGATGAAATATTTTTTCAAATTCCTGAAATTTTAAGCATTCATGAAGAATTTCTTGATGTTTTTACTCAAAGATATAACACTTGGGATGTTTTGAGTACAGTTGGAGATCTTTTTGTTGAAACGGTAAGTTTTATCTCTATTTTATCTCGTCTAAAATTATAGAAACATTTTACTAATAAGGATAGGTATAATTAATAGAAAATCTTTACTGAGAGATGGTTTTATATTCATCCAGGGAAAAATTCGCATCCTTTCCTCGCCGTTTGGGGCTCGAATGCTTGAGGTATCCTTGAAGTTGACTATGAGACTTGACATGAAAAAATGAGACAATGTATTGAGAAATTGTAAACCGATATAATATTGTATAACTTTAAAATTGTATACCGATATAATATTTAACATGAACACGCTTTATTTAGAATATCTTTTTAAAGTGAACTAGTATTTCACTATCTTAGGAACTATTTTACTTTTAATGTGAACAGAAAATTTATTTCCCCTCTGACAGGTAAGAAAACTGATCATTCACTGTTGTGCATCTATAAGAGAAGGTTTTTTTTAAAGGTTTTGTTATAATGTTGATAACTGCAATATTACAGCAGTCAAAGAGTTGTATGAATTGAATCTGTTGAGGGAATGAGACATTACAAGAAACATTATCAGCCCTTTTGTACTCAAATATGAATAGAGTTTTCTTTCACCTAATGGGTGTGGATGTATAGAAGCATGTTTTCCTAAGAAATGACCTTACATTTGTTTAACATGGGTAGTCTTTTCTCCCACATTCTCATAGGTTGTTCTGCATTAACACTGCATTTGTACAGGTCAAGATTTGTATTTGTACTGGTCAAGATATGTGGAGCTTAAATCCTTTTTAAATAAATTTACTAGAAAATACTTTAATTTACTTTCCTTGCATGGATACTTACAAAGCAGTTAAACTTTTTCTTGTAATGCAATATATTCAAATCCTTTTTTGGATACAGTTGTTAAGTTAGAAGATTTTTGGAAAGCATATTCAAACAAGAAACTAAAACAATGAGCTAACCAATTATTTTTTTAGTAATCCTCTCTTATTTGCCAATAAATCAGTTTACTACTATTAGTTAATTACTGTTCTGTAATTTTTTATTTGTTTCTACAGAATTAAAAAAAAAAAAAAAAAAACAATAGAGCACCAAAAAGTAAGTACACTTTTTAAATTTCGTCTGAACTAATATTTTTTCCTTCCTTTATAACTTTATTTTATTTTTTAAAGTAATTGGTTATATTTATTATGAGAGTTATAGAAGTCGTTAATTTAATATAAAGCGCAAAATAAAAACATTTATTGAAATGAAGTAAATATAAATTTACATTTTCAAAATAGAAATTTAAAATTAAAAAACACAAATCAACAACAGATTATATGGATATTAGAAAATGTCTATGTATTGTACGAATCAATTATTTTTCTTTTTTTTTTTTTGAATTGATAACAGGAGCTACTTTTAATGTGAATGAGTTTTCTATCTTTCTTCAAGTTGATGTTAACAAGGTTTGACTGTACTTCATAAAAATAAAAATTTGAAGCACTTTTAAAAAATCAATGATTTCCAAAAAAAAAAATTTCCAAAATTTTTTTGCCACCGATGTGATGAAATTAGTTACAAGAGTCAATAAATTTTTTCCAGAAAATTCTGTGTTTTCAATAGCTTAATTGATACCAGCTGACAGAAGAACCACTGATTTGTTCTGAAACACAGGAGAAAATAAGGGCATGTTCTAGTTAAACAATGATTGAATCAGGCATGTATAGAATTTATGCTTAAAATCCCATGACATCTCCTAAAATAGTTAACTTATCTAATGGTGAGTGTTCCAACTACAGCCCAAAAAGTAATGCTTTCCTTCCTGAAGAAAAACCAACCACTGTACATTCAATTCTATATGCTTGAAAGTCAAATGAAATGATGGCTTATTGATCAAGACATCTGCCTTTGTCATTGTTTATTGGTCAACTTTTTCTCTCATGAAGAAGTGATGATTGTTTCTGAGTTGAGATCAAAGGGTTGGAATTTATTTGGATTGCACTCTGATATTCACAACCTAATTTTCTTCAATATGCTAGTTTAACATTACTTGTTGGAGTTGTGTTAAGTTCTTCACACATCTCCCTGAAGCTCACTTCTCCCTGGTATTTGGCATGGGATCTGGCTTCTTCAACTTCTTTGAATTTTGTTCTCTTAAAATTTGTCTTATTCAAGTCATTCTTGGTTTTTCCTATCAGGGGTCCAGAGACTTGTTAATTTGGCAGTTTTAGCACATACCCTGTCCCACTTTCTCCTGCTGACTTCTATTATTGTGAGGTTTTCTTTTTCAAATATTGTTTTATTTCTTATTTTGACAGGCCAAAGGAATTTTTTAATTTTTCTGAAACGTTTATTTACTTTTTGGATCAGACTAAGTTACCATGTTTCAGAACTACATAATAAATTTTTTTTAACTGTTTTTTATAGATATTTTTGTTCTGTATGGGATGCTTGTTCCCTTTCAGAATTTGGTAAGCTACTCTTGCTCAGATGGCTCTGTTCATTATATCTGTCTCTACTTCTTCATTGCTGTCAAGTACAGAACAGAGATATAAGTATTCTCCCACATTGTTTTCATCAATCTTTAGTTTTCTTCGAGATTTTGCTTTAATTCTCAGTCATTTGAGTTCCTTTGCTATTTATTTGCAACCCCACATTATTTGTATTATCATGATTTTATATTATACCAGTACCATATTTTTTATATAATTGTCTTGAAGGATAAAGTATTTTGTAGCACTATGGCGTCTGAAATATCAATCTTGAGTTTACTCAATTCTTATGTGCATATGTAGGCTTTGTATTCTGCTTCAGCAAAGTCTAGGCAATGCTTTGTTGTTTTCTAGAATTCCAGATGATGGTACTATTTGAATAGGTTTCAGTTGCTACAGATGGTACACAGAAAACATATCCAGTTGTTTATTTTATAATACCTTCGTGGTTTGGTCAATTTGAATCTGTAAGACCTTGAAATTGTCCTTTTTTTTAGTAAAATTCAACTTCTTTAAGTTTACTCTTTTACTGCATTCTGATAAAGTTTACTACATTACTTACCTAGCAAGCTGGTACCCGTCGATCAGAAGCTGGATAGACTTAAAACTGTTACCAAGAATAGAACCCTTGGCCTCTACGATGTTAGGTCAGTGGCTTAACCACTGTGCTATAGTCGTTTAACCGTAGTAAAATATTATTTTATTTTATTCTGACAGTAAATGGATAATTTAAACAATTACAAATTAATTTGAATACATAATTTAATGGGAGAAAATCTGGATACTACTAGTTAGCACTGAACTGAAAGTTAGTTGGCGAACAATATAAGTTAATATAAAACTGAGGTTCAAACTGATACTGATGCTGACATTTGAAAAAAGAAAACAAAAAAAGGAGGATAAAATGTTTTTTTTTTCTTTATAAAAAAATACTAAAAAATGAAAAGCAAACTGAAAAATAGAAAGTGTATTATTAAGAAGCACACACACTTTGGGACAATTTGAAACAATCAAAAGAATTAAACTAGTTTTTACCAATTGAAAATAATTTATCAGAAAAATAGCTAAAATTGTAAACACTATCAGGGGTCTGTTTGGAAGAAATTTAGGTCTATTAATGGACCCTTCACAAAATATCTTTTCATGAAAATGGATTCTTCACAAAATAATTTATCTTTTAATCTGACCCTTCACAAAATAATTTATCTTTTACTCGGACGCTTCACAAATTTGTTTATTTTCATTATTGTTTTGGTAATCGAATAAACCCTTCCCGGGAGTTGGAAGGGGAAGAAAGACGGTTCCAGACAAACTAAATTTCCCTAAGTTTAAATTCCAAATGTAGTATTCTAAGAAAATATTTCTACTTTTACAAACATTGTGTGCGCATTCTTATTAATATTAAATTATAATTTTTTTGTAAATAAATAATTGATCAATTTATATTTATTCATAAAATTAATTAATATAATATTATGTAAATAGAAATTATTTTCTGGCAATTTTTAAAAAAGAATATTATAAATTTAAGAATTGTTTTAAGTTTACTTAATGCATAACACTTTAAAAGTGATACGTTACTAAGTTGTGTTATTTAAAATATGTCAATTGAAATTATTAAAAATGTGAGTGATTTTATTTCCATTATTCGCCCGAAATGAATATTCTGTGTTGAGCAGTATAGCCAAACCACCAAATATTTGTATGTTGCATCTCTAATTTAGTAGCAGCAATTGTTGAGCTGCATCTTGTATCTATTTACAATTTAAAAACTTCTTGCAAAGGTTTTAGCAATTTTTGCAATAACAGGACCCTATTTGCACAAATTCACAAGAGCAGGACCCTGGTTTAAAGAATGTGACTTAAGGCTTTTTTTATATTCACAAATTATGAATAGTTTTTTCACAATTTTACTAAAACAGGACCTTTCACTAAATGTCTGAACAGTCCCCTGACTATGTGTTTTTTCTTCTGTTTTTTAAAATGTAATTAATGTTCATTAAGAAAAATGTAAAAATGCTATTAAAAAATTCAAGGCATCTGAAAAAAAATATTATGAAGGAAAAAAGCTCTTCCCCATTTTTTCCATATAATGCAAAATATTGCATTTTATAAATAATGAGTTATTTCAATGTAGCATTTTGAACTGAAATTGTTAGACATAGCTATATTCTTTTATGATTTTTTATTTATTGTTTAGTTTACAAAACAACAAGTTATAGACACCTACACATCGTTTATTAACAACTGGAAATGTGCTAAAGAAGCTACCAAAGTAACAACTCTGGCTAAACCAGCATTTGCCAGGTTTTTGGAGGTAATATTTTATGTATGATTTTAAAACAGTTCAATATTCTAAATTGTTTTACTAGAATATTTGTCCTTTTCACTCTGTAAATTTCAGGTGCAACTTTTTTATTTGCTGCACCTCCATTTCTTGATGCAAGAACTTAATTGAGAAAATTTTGTTGATTTTAATTATTTTTATCTGAATTTAACTTAATTTGCTTATTTGTGGATATTGTTAACGAAATATCTGTTGAAAAATTTGACTGCAAATCAAAATTTACTACAAGGAAATTGGTCAGTCATTGATCCAAATTTAAAAATCTATTCATGTATTTTGTTTTGCTTCATTTGTTTCTGGTTATCTCACCAGTTTCTAAATGCAATTTTGGCATTACCAATTTGGCCGTAATATATATTTTCGTTGTTTTTTACTTGTTTGCTGTACCACCTTATGAGTGAACCTGTATTAAAAAAGTGTAAGTTCATGATCTTAAATTTAATGACCAACCAATTAGTCATTTCTAGAGTGCTTTGAAAGAAAAATTTAAAAAAAAAAAATCCAAAAGTACCTGATGACCATATACTGTTTGTTGAAACTCACTTCTTTAACAAACTTAGGTATAATTTGAACTGTTTGTCTAATTCTTCAAGACAGGCCCGTAGCCAGGGGGGACCGTTGGGACAACCCCCCCCCCCCGAAATTCTGGGATTCAAACTTTTTAGTCTTTCTTTGAGCCTCTCAGTAAAAAGAAAAACAAAAACTGTTGAATCAAACCCTTTCCCACTACACCACCTTCGCTAGTGCATCATCTTCACTTGACCTTGTGTCTCATCTTTCCTTCGGTTAGACTCCTCCCCCGAAATCAATTGTTTTTCAGCATATTAATTTTTGCAATCTCCGAATCTACGCAGATTTCATTGACATTGATATCGAAAACCTCATGGGAGAAATGGAAGTATGTGCATCAAAGTGGAACCTGTGTGAACCCCTTAGTAGACCAGATAAGGCACTTTCAGCAATGGAAGAATGTGACAGTATCTTTTTCCCAAACATTTATTGCTTGTTATCAATATTGGCTATGTTGCCAATCACCACAGCAACTGCAGAAAGAACTTTTTCTACTCTTAAACGCATAAAAACAGCAACAAAAAATGCTACTAAAGAAGAAAGTCTAACAGGGCTAACTTTATTAGGCATATTTTGGGATATTCCGGTTTGTCCTGAAAAAGCAATCGAAAATTTTTCTTCAAATCCCCGTCGCATGTCTTTGTAAACTTTATTTTGTTTACAAATTGATTATAATTATTATGTAATATTAATAGAAAAATAATTATGTAATATTTTTTAATTACTTGTTTAACTTTTGCAAACAACAGAAATAAACAATATTTGTTACAATGTTTTTCCGTTACTTTGCATGCCTGAAACTGTCCTTGCTTCTTACCATATCCCCCCCGAAAAAATATCCTGGCTACGGCCCTGCTTCAAGATGTATTACTGGTGAAGGAGAAAATATTGATAGTGCTTTAATTGAATTCCAGGAAAAATTATACAAATTTATATATATATAAGTTCAAAATGTAGAGAAAACATGGAAAAAATTACAGAATAATGGAAAAAGAGAAGACATTTTTTTTTAAAATAAAAATAATAATAATCATAAAAATCTGGAAAAAAGATGTAATAAATTTTTTTTATTTTTCCGCATTTTCATTAACTTTTCTTTCTGCATTATTCTCTAATTTTTTCCATGTTTTCTTACATTTTGAACTTATTTCATATGTTCTATAAACTTGCAGCTTATGCACAGTAAATAAAACTTATTGATTTTCTTATTCCTCGTTTTTCTCTTTGTCCTTTTTGTATTTATTTATTGTGCTATATATTAATATATGTATATATATATATATATATATATATATATATATATA